CGTCTCTGTGCTGTCTCTGTGGTTCCTCTAAGACTGCCACTCATCAGACATCAGTGGTGCCACCACCACGAGTGGGTCCACAAGGCAGGAACAGTGCCAGTAGGGATCCCCTTAAACCACAGTTTCCCGAGTGGGAGAAAAAGAGGTTGGGTGGACCCTCGCAGTCAGTGATCCTCGAGACCTCACCAGCTCTCAGTGTCACTTAGGATGGACACAGTGTTGGGCCTTTAGGACTCTTGCATTTTTGTCAACGCAACATGAGTGTGCACAGAGCTGCTTGGAGACTACACTGCTGCACCCTGACCAGGGCCAGCACTGCTGCACTCCATCCTGAGGGTGCCCTTCCAGTCCCCTCTATCTTAGTAGATTTCTCTCCAGTGTGCAAAGAAGGGCAGAGGTGCATGCTCCTGCACACACACAGACGTCCTTGTAAGACAGAGTGAAGAGAAACTTCAGACCCAACAAATATAATTTCCCAGTCAGAAACCCCAGAGAGGTGGACATTTACAAACTAGCTGATTCAGAATTCAAGATAATTGTTCAAGGAAACTCAGGAGATTTTAAGAAAATACAGAGAAACAATTTATAGACATCAGGAAAACATAAACTGACACCCAAAATAAATTTCTCAGGGAGATTGAAGTCGTAAAGCACACAGAAATTCTGTGTTTGCAGAGAACAGTGAAGGAAAGAAAACCAAAATGCAACAGAGGTGTTAGCATCAGACTAGGTCACTGGAGAAAATGATTCTGTGAGCAGGCAACAGGTTACCGGAAACACAGAATCAGAGGGGAAGAGAAAAATATTCTGTTAGTGTCTTATGATGGACAAAGCCCAGGACATCCGGGATGAAATACATATTACATTTAGAGTGATAAGCATAAGAAGGATGTTGATTCTCACCAGGAACTATGGGAATCAGAAGATCATGTGATGACAACTCCCAAGTTCTAAAAGGACCTCAAACCAGCACATGTGCTGAGAGTATCCTTCAAAGGTGAAAGTCGTGTACAGAATTTTCAGGTACAAGTAAGATGAAGAGCTGAAGAAATTCTCTTGCAGCAAAACTAAAGTCCAAAAGGTGGTGAAGGGGGTTTGTTGGGTAGAAGGCGACTGATGTGACATGAAATTGCTGACCTGAATAAGGAATGACAGTCACTGGAGAAGTAATATATGAGTCATGCAACTAGTAAAAATGAAAAACACTGCTATTTTATACATTAACACTGCCTTCCAGGGGGCAAAGACCCCACAGACGTGTGGGCCTGACACTGGGTTCCCATGTCAGACACCAGAGCTGAGCCAAGTGTCCATTCTCCCGGCACCCTGAGTTGGGGAGTCAAATGAAGTTCAAACTACAGCAAGAACTCTCCTCTGTAATTTAGTTCTTTCACTCCAAGACACACACCAAGGGGAGGGAGTGACTCTGTTCCCCCAAAGACACATGCGAGCTTATTTCTAGCAGCTTTGATGATAATATCATTGAATCTGAGAGGTCACAGATGTCCATCAGTGGAAAGAGGGAAGGGTGTGATATCCTTTGCTGTAGAAAAGAACAAGAATGCAACATGGGAGACCATAGAGGAGTCTCAGAAACGTGTTGATTAAAAATGCCAGAGAAGAAACAGGAACTGCGTTCCATTTAAAACAGGTGAGGAGGAGCTGGCACTGTGGTGCAGTGGGTTAAAGCCCTGGCCTGAAGTGCCGGCATCCCATATGGGCATCGGTTCTAGTCTCAGCTGCTCCTCTTCCGATCCAGCTCTCTGTTATGACCTGGGAAAGCAGTAGAAGATGGCCCAAATCCTTTGGCCCCTGCACCCATGTGGGATACCCGGAAGAAGCTCCTGACTCCTGGCTTCGAATTGGCCCAGCTCCAGCCATTGCAGCCATCTGGGGAGTGAACCAGCAGATGAAATACATCACTCTCTGTCTCTACTTCTCTCTGTAACTCTGTCTTTCAAATAAATAAATCTTTTTTTAAAAAAGGTGAGGAGGTTTGAGGTTTGCCAAGGAGTTAAGACTTCACTTCCCACATCCAAGTGCCTGAATTCTATGTAGACACTTGATCAGTATAAAATAATCAATTCCTTGCTGTCTCTTAAATAAATGAAAACTAATTTTTTAAACTTGTTAATGATTTATTTGTGAATTTGAACATTAGAATTCCAGAGAGGAAGAAAAAGAGAAGGGGGGGGGGAGAGAAGGGAGAGGAGAGAGAGAGAGAGAGAGAGAGAGAGAGAGAGAGAGATTAGCCAATTCTCCATCCATTGGTTAACTCCCCAGATGGCTACAATAACTGGGGCAGGGCAGATCAAAGCCAGGAGCTTCATCCGAGTCTCCAATGTAGTTGGTCCAAACACTGGGGCCATCTTTTGCTGCTTTTCCCAGGCGATCAGCAGGGAGGTAGATTAGAAGTAGGGTAGCTGGGACTCGAACCCGTGCCCATATGGGATGTAGCATCACAGGCAGCACTTTTACCCACCAAGCCACAACACTGGCCCTGAGACTCTGGTTCCTATTTACACCCTGGGGTTTATCTGAACTTGCACTGCTCTGGCAGAGGTAGGAAAGGATCTAAATCCCCCACCCCTTAGTAAGAAAAGGCAATTTGGGAAATCATAAAATCATAAATCCTGAGTATTATAGATACTCTACTCTTAACTATTTTTATGAGAGACAACTCAGACTTCTATGTGTCCATTTCATTATCTTTGCAACATAATTAAAAAGTAACTGTGATGCTTTTGTAACTATTTTCCATTTCCAACAGTACCCAATTAGCAGCCACCAGGGATCCAAGAGGCACACTGGTCTCCAGATGGCTCCTGATGTGGCTGCTGCCCACTGGCCCTGGTGGCTCCTGACTGGTGTCAAGAGACAGTCCAATGTCAGTCATATGATGGGACAATTCCATATATTTATTCTTGCAAGGGCATGTGTATCCTCCCCTGTCTGGAGAGTGCAATTAGTGGGAAACCTAATGCTTGGAACTCATTTTGGAGACAGAAGATCCATGGCCAAGACACCAGGTTAAGTGAGGAGAACATTTCTGTATCTTTGCTGCACTGAAGTATTTTTCCAGAAAACAGCATTTCTTGCTGGAGCTGGCTGGTTCAGGATTAGGAGCAGGTTGGGGATCTGGGGCCTGGGATCAGAAGGGAGGCTATGAAGACACTTTGGGAGTGCACATGGACTGATTCCAATTTCCAGACACCGAGAAAGGCTGTGCTCCCTTCTGTCTCCCAGTGTAAAGTGTTCCACTGAGTGTCACTTTGCCTCCTCCTAGTTTGGAAATTTGTGTAGTCATTGAAGATGGATGATTAGCAGACCTGAGGCATGCGATGAAGTTTTCTCTGTGACAATCAGGGACATCTCAGGCGCAAGTGTGTCTTTTCTTACCTTTCCAACTTCCTAGCCCAACATTCTTGATATTTCATCATCTGCAAAGATCTGCAGATAGAGCTCTGGTGACACTAAGTGGCCCACGTGGCACTGAGTCAGTCATTCATTTGTGGTAAACTGAGGTGGAGTCTGTTCCTCTTAAACAGACGCCCCATAGTGAATGGTTTGGCTAAATCAAAGAGCTAGTTCAGGGATCTGAGAGGAGCACAGGTTGACCAACGGGACAAAATCTCCCCCAAGAAATGTTAGTGGGTGTAAAGGGCAAAGGAAATATTTGTTTTATGTGGGATAAATGTAGGAAGGAGAATGAATGAGAGATTAATTGTAGGACTCAAGTCACACCATGGATCTTTTTATCCCTTGTGGCCATCCTTTACCTAAGGATGGGAAAATCAAAAGGTAAAACTTCTGGCCTGGATGACTGCTTAGCGTGATGTCAGCCTTGGGTTAAAAGAGGTGGGCTGAGACTCTAACATCCGGCTGTCCCATCTCACTCACTTCAAGGGAGCTGCAGTTGGTGCCCTAGAATGGTTTTCCTTCAATGACACTATATCCCCAAATTTGGAAACTAGTCCTAAGACATGAAGGGATGTGTTTTGTGGGATTACAGAATTCCATGAACATATTTTTCAGTTATAATTTTCCTTTGGCAATATTGAAAGTGTGGCTGTATAATATGAGTATTTTCTTATCAGTAAGATGTGGCATGATCAGAAACGTGGTTGGCATACAGATTATTTTTTAGGGTAGCTATAGAATATAGAGCAAAATAACTATTACAATCCAGTGTTTTTATTTCAAATCTTTTTATTATTGAAAGTCAGTATGTCAGAGATAGACACACACACACACACACACACACGGAACTAGAGAGAGAGAGAGAGAGAGAGAGAGAGAGAGAGAGAGAGATCATCCTTCTGTTTATTTACTCCTAAATGGCCACAACAGACAGGCTGGACTTGGCTGAAGTCAGGAGCTAAGAGCTCCATCTAGGTCTTCCACATGGCTGGCCATGTTCCCCAGCACGTGGGCCAACACTTCCCCAGGCATTAGCAGAAAGCTGGATTGGAAGCAGAGTAGTCAGGACTCAAACCAGCACTCTGACATGGAATGCTAGCACCATAACTAGAGGTTAACTCTGGTGCCTCTGTGCTGGCCCCAACATCATCATTTAAGCAGATTGCTACTTGCAAGCACAGTCCTAACTTAGGTCTTTTGGCTGCACAAATTATGTTCAGGTATTAAAATAACTTATTTTTATTTAGCAACAGTCAAAAGTTATATATAAAATCTAATGTTTCAAAATAGTTGAAGCTGTGATTTGGCCTAGAGGTTAAGGTGCTCTTTGGAGTGCCTACTTCCCCTATTGAAGATCCTACTTCAGTTTGAAGCCCTCCTCCCAATTCCAGGTTCTAGATGATGTACACACATGGCTCATGTGCTTGGGTCCCTGGTATCCATGTGCGAGGTCTGAGTTCAAAGCTCTTTGCTTTGCACAGACCCCAAGCTGGCTGTTGTGTGGGCATTTGGGGTTGTGAATCAGTGGACAGTGGGCCTTTCTCTCTCTAATAAAAAACATAAATTTCTACTTTTTTTAGGTTTAATGAAAAAGGATTCTCCTTTCTACATTGTTCACACTGCACAATAGCCCAGTGAGAGTTGAAGAAGAAACGGAAAAGATGATGATGTGGGATACAGATAACAGGAGTGTGGTCCAGGAGTTCATCCTGGAGGGCTTCCCTGCTGTCCAGCACCTGGGGAAAATACTGTTCCTGGTGCACCTGCTGGCATACCTGGCCTCCATCATGGGAAACACGCTCATCATCACCATCACCTGGGCTGACCAGCGCCTCCACACACCCATGTACTTCTTCCTCAGCACTTTCTCCTTTGTGGAATGCTGCTTCATAACCACGGTGATTCCTAAACTGCTGGCCATCTTCCTGTCAGGGAGGCAAGCCATTTCCTTTGCTGCCTGCTTCACGCAAGCTTTTGTCTTTCTTTCCCTGGAGTCAACTGTTTTCTTCCTTATGGGAGTGCTGTCTCTGGATCGGTACCTGGCCATTTGCAGACCTCTGCGTTACTCCAGCATCATGAGCCCCAGGGTGTGTTCCCTGCTGGTCACTGCCTGCTTCACTTTGGGATTCCTCTTCATGGTGGTCCCAGTTGTCCATCTTTCCCAGTTGTCCTTCTGTGGCCCCAATGTCATCCCTCACTTCTTCTGTGATTTTGGGCCCTTGGCTAAGCTCTCCTGTTCTGATACCAGGTCTGTTGAAATGTTGTTCTTCAATATTGCCTTTTTGATTCTTTTTGCAACTCTTCTTGTAACCATCATTGCATACAGCCACATCGTGGTCACCATTGTGAGGCTCCCATCAGCCAAGGAGCGGCAGAAAGCTTTCTCCACCTGCTCGTCTCACCTCATCGTCCTCTCTCTCATGTACGGCAGCTGTCTTTTCATCTATGTGAAGCCAAAGCAGACGAGCAGGGTGGACTTCAACAGACAGGCTGCTCTGGTGAACACGGTGCTGACCCCAGTGCTGAACCCTGTCATCTACACCCTGCGCAACAAGCAGGTGCACCAGGCTCTCAGGGGTGCCCTGTGCAGGGGGAAGTAGAACCACAGCTCCTCAGTGGAGGGTGCATAATCTGTATCGAATCTCCCTTCAATGTGCATAATCTTCTAAACATGTTTTAATTTATAAATATGTTAGTTTATTCAGGTTTTCATTTTTAGTTTAATAATAGAATCATTGCTCTATTTTTCCATTCTGAAAGCTTGAATAATCTTCCTTATATTGAGATAAAATATCTTCTTGTATTTTCATTACATTTGAATTAATAAGACTTAAAATTTTAAGGAAGAGTATCTAATACATAAATGTTTTTGATGCATTTGCAATGTCAATGATGGGCTGCTGTGGTTTCATGTATCCTCTTGAATATTTGTAAGGAACTAATTTAAATATTTCATGAATTTTAAGAATATCAAATTGATTCAAAGCATGGACAAACATGGTTATCATACTGTATTTTAAAAAACACAGACACATCTTTTTTTAATTGTTTCCAGCTCTTTCTCTTGTGAGTAGCTCTGCTGTGAATATTTGTGGATTTGTCTTTGTATGAGTTGATATTTTTATTATTTTGGGTATAAACTTGGATAGGAATAATTGGAGGAGAGGAGATGGGGTGAAAATGCTTTAATGTATATGGAACTTCCTACAGGAGTGACGAAAATATTTTGGAATTAGATGGAAATGGTGATTACATAACCTCTAAATGTACACATATCAATGAATTGTACAAGTAAAATGATTAATTTTATATGTACATTTACTTGAATAATAACACAAACATTCCAAAATTTGTATGTTCCGCTGAACTTTTTCTCGTGAATACCAAGATCATTCCTGATCAAGATGGCAGAGTAGAAAAAAAAAATTGGTCCTTGCCTTTCCCAAGTTTCCTTTCTAAAAAGTAGACAGGGATCAAAAACCAACATTGCCTGAGGCCCCTGGAAGAATGTGCAGCAACACAGAGGGAAAATTCATGGAGAATCTCCACCCGGAAGGACCTCTGGTAAGACTGCCTGTCAGAGGTGCCACGAGATGGCCGAGAACACAGAGAGAAGATTGAGGGTGTAAGTAGCAGTCACCTGGCAGGAACCACTGGGGCGCTGCCCTGCACAAGACACTGGCATCCTACGCATGGAGGAAACCAACAGTCATTCCTGATGGGAGATCCAGAGCAGGAAGTGTTGCCACGGACAATGCCCATCAAGAAGCAGTCACCGCTGTATCACTCCAACCTGCATATGTCCCTGACCCTGAGTCTTTGATTCTCCACTAATGCTCACACTTATATTCCAATTCTGTGGCTAAACAGCATCGTGCCACACCAATACGTGGGAGCCATGGTCATAGAGAGATACTTCACATCATGGCCCCAAATCCTAGACTCCCTACGTGTTCCCACACTTCAGAGTGCAGCTCAGCTGACACTGACAGCTAGTACCTTCACTGGTCCTGACTCCAAACTTGCACCCATACCTCAAACACCAGAGCCTCCACCATGGAGGGTAGGATTTCCCTGGGCTCTGGATCCAAGGTTTGTCTGTTTGTTTGTCTGAGCTGCTGGCTCAGATGCAAAGAGATTTGGATGACCCTGCCTCCTGAGCCACTGTAGCTCTGCACACTCTCGAGGTCGCATCCCTCCTCCCTGGCTGCTTCACAGGATGCTCTATCAACTCAGACCACTGCTAAATTGAAAGTGTGAGTACGTGTGCCCTAGGCATCGGAACCATTATGTCCTTGAACCTCAGAGAGAGATGTGGTTTCTTCAGCTGTGCCCATGTTACATACCTCAGCCCTGTGGCTCCTCTAAGAGTGCCACTCATCAGACACCAGTGCCATTGCTGAGTGAGGTCTGCAAAGCTGAAACACTGCCAGGACCCTTGCAGGCAGTGGGACTCCAGACCTCACAACTCTCAAAGGCACTCGGGACAGGCGCAGTGTTGGTCCCTGAAGACCCACGCATTTTTGCTCAACACTGACATGAACTCATAGAGCTGCTTAGCAACTGGGTGCTGCGCCCTGACCAGTGCCAGCCCTGCTGCACTACACCCTGAGTGGGGCTTTCCCCTGTATCTTAGCAGATTTTTCCACCATGACCAGTATGTAGGACAGGAAGAGGCACCTGCTCCTCCGAATGTATCAACGTCCCTATAAGGCACAAAGGGAGGAGAAACTTTACCACCCAAAGAATATAATTTCCCAGCTTGTGACCCCAAAGAGAGGGATGTTCACAAACTAGCTGTTATAGAATTCAAAAATAATTAATATGCTCTGGGAATTTAAACAAAATACAGAGAATCATTTACTGATATCAGGAAAACATAAGATTATCCGAAAAGTAAATTTAACCAGAGAAATTGAAATCATAAAACATATAGAAATACCGTCATTGAAAAGAACTATAAGTAAAATGAAAAACTGCAGCAGAGAATATCAACAGTGGAATAGATCACAGTAAAGAAAATGTATGAACTGGGAAAACAGTTCTTTTGAAAACAGGCAATCAGAGGAGAAAAGAAAAAAAATCCCAATAGGAATGAAGAACAGCTGATGTGCAATTTGACAGCATTAGTAAATGTATTATACATGTTAGTAACATGTATTATACATGTTAGTAACATGTATTATACATGTTAAAGAACATTTATACATGTTAAAGAAAAATATGAGAAAGGGAAAGGGACAGAAATATTATTTAAAAAGGTATAAGTGAAAACTCCTCAAATCTGTGATTTGAAGACGTACTAGACAGCAGTTATAATCAAAGCTGCCTGATACTGGCACAAAAATAGACATGTAGACCAACGGAACAGAATAGAAATCTCAGAAACCAATGCATGCATCTACAACCTTTGACAAAGGAGCTAAAACCAATCCCCAAAGAGACAGTCTCTTCAACAAGTGGTGCTGGTGAAATTGGACCTCTGCAGGCAGGAGGACCAAACAAGACCCCGACCTGACACCTTATGAAAAAGTCAACTCTAAATGAACCAAGGATCTAAACCCATGACTTGAGACCATCAATTATTAGAGAAAAACTTTGGGGAAGCTTTGCACGAGGTTGGCATAGGCAAAGCCTTCTTGGAAGCACAGGCAATACAAGCAAAACTATGTAAATGGGATTGCTTCAAGCTAAGAGCTTCTGCAGTGCAAAGGAAACACTCCACAAAGTGAAGCGGCAACAGACAGAACAGGAGAAAATAGCTGCAAACTGTGCAACTGATGAAGGATTAATATCTGGAATCTGTAATGACCTCAAGGAACTAAACAACAACAAAAGAAATTATCCAGTTAAGAAATGGGCATAGGGCTTAAGTAGGCATCTATTTTTTTAAGATATATTTATTTATTTGAAAGAGTTACACAGAAAGAGAAGGAGAGGCAGAGAGAGGGAGAGAGGAAGAGAGGGAGGGGGAGAGAGAGAGAGAGAGAGAGAGAGAGGTGTCTTCCATCTGCTGGTTCACTCCCCAAATGGGCACAACAGCCAGAGCTGTTGATCTGAAGCAGATCTGAAGCCAGGAGCCAGGAGCTTCCTCCGGGTCTCCAACATGGGTGCAGGGGCTCAAGGACTTGGACATACTTCTACTACTTTCCCAGGATATCGTGAAGGACTGGATTGTAAGAGGAGCGGCCGGGACATGAACCAGCACCCATATGGGATGCTGGCACTGCAGGCAGCAGCTTTGCCTGCCACACCACAGAGCCACCCCAACAGGCATCTTTCGAAAGCTGTCATTCAAAGGGCCAACAGACATGTGAAAAAGTGCTCAGGATTACTAGCCAACAGAGAAATGCAAATAAAAACCACAATCAGGTTTCATCTCACTTAGAATGGCTATCATCCAAAACCATAATACAACAAATGCTGGGAAGATGCAGGGAAAAAATACCCTAATACAGTGTTGGTGGGAATGTTAACTAGTACACCCATAATGGAAGACAGTGTGGAGATTCCTCCAGAATCTGAAAAGACCTACCCTATGACCCAGCCAGCCATCTCACTCCTGGGAACTGTCCAAAATGAAATGAAAGCAGTGTATCAAAGAGTTTTCTGGGGGCCATCACTGTGGCGCATTGGGTTAACACCCTGGCCTGAAGTGCCACCATCCCGTATGGGTGCCAGTTCAAGTCCTGGCTGCTCCATTTCTGATCCAGCTCTCTGCTGTGGCCTGGGAAAGCAGTAGAAGATGGCCCAAGTCTTTGGGCCCCTGCACCCGCGTGGGAAACCCATAAGAAGCTCCTGGCTCCTAGCTTCGGATATGGGCAGCTCCGGCCATTGCGGCCGTTTGGGCAGTGAACTGATGGACAGAAGGCCTCTCTCTCTCTCTCTCCCTCTCTCTCTCTCTCTGCCTCTCCTCTCTCTGTGTAAATCTGACTTTCAAATAAATAAATAAATCTTTCAAAAAAAAAAAGAAAGATTTTTCTGTACCCTGTATTTATTGTAGCTCAATTCACAATAGCCAAGATATGCAGTAAGCCCAGATGTCCATGAACCCACCACTGGATAACGAAAATGTGGTTTATATACACTTTGGAATACTACTAAGCAGTAAAAAAGAATGAAACCTTCTCTTTTGCAACAAAAGAAATTGTGTATAGCAGCTTTAATTATACTATTGAATCAAAGAGATCACAGATGACTACCAATGGAAGAGGGGCGACTTACATTCTATGTATGCAGTGTTGCTACAAGGCAGTATAAAAGAACCATCAAGCAATACGAGAGAGCAGAGATGAGTTTCAGGAATCTGTAGGAAAAAAAAAGCCAGGTAAGCAACATGTTCCATTCAAAAGCTGTTTTCCATTCAAAACTGGTGGAGAGTTTGAGTTTAGCCAAGGACATAAGACTCTACTTCCCACATCAGAGTGCCTGGGTTCCATGTGAACACTTGATCAGTATACATAATTCAACCTCTCTCTGTCTCTCAAGGAAGTAAAAACTAATTTTTTTAAAGATTTATTTGTTGGGGCCAGCACTGTGGCCTGGTATGTTGGGCCTCCGCCGGCAGCACTGGCATCCTTTATGGGCACCAGTTTGTGTCCCGGCTGCTCCTCTTCCCAGCCAGCTCTCTGCTTGTGGCCTGGGAAAGCAGTGGAATATAGCTCAAGTGCTTGGGCTCCTCCTCCCATGTGTGAGACCTAGAAGAAGCTCCTGGCTCCTGACTTTGGATCTGCTTGGCTCTAGCCATTGAGGCCATTTGGGAAATGAACTAGCAGATAGAAGACCTTTCTCTATGTCTTTCCCTCTATCTATAACTCTGTCAAATAAATACATAAAATATCATAAAATATTTATGGCTTATTTGAAAGAATGAGAGAGAGAGAGAGAGAGAGAGAGCTCTTTAATTTGCTGGTTCACCCCCAGATGGTCACAATGATTGGGGCTGTGTGGGGAGCAACCCGGACTAGACTGAGTTACTGGAATTAAGACTTATTCTATGCATCTGCTCTCCCACAATATGGCGCTGGGAGAGAAGTAAACAGCTTCCGCACAGCTGCCTCCAGTTCAACCAATTAACTGTAGGACTTGTTCCTGATTGGAGAGCAGCGTACTCGGCGTGTGGGCAGCTGAGTTGGGATTGGCGGAGGAGGACTATAAAGGAGGAGAGAGACGGCATGCACCAGGAACATCTATGGGGAACATCTGAGGGAACCCGTGCAACCCCCGAGAAAGCCGGCCGGCGGTGTGCCGCTCCCCTGCGGAAGTGGGGAATGTGGCCAGGGGGAACTGCCCTTCCACGGAGGTGGAAGGGATAGTAGCCAACCCGGGAAGAACCAGCAGCAAACCCGGGGAGGGCCGAGCAGACGAAAGAACAGCGCAGGGTCCTGTGTCGTTCCTCCACGAAGACGGGGAGCGACATAATGGTGCCGTGACTCGGATATGAAGCCTAGGCAGGGCTTAGTGTCGTTCCTCCACGAAGAGGGGGAGCGACAGGGCTGAGCCACACCAAAGCCAGGAGCTTCATCCTTGTCTCTCACGTGGTGCAGGGGCCCAAGCACTTGGGCCATCCTTTGCTGATTCCCCTGTCACAATAGCAGGGAGTTGCATCAGAAATGGAGCAGCCAGAACATGAACCGGTGCTCATATGGGATGCTGGCATTGAAGGCAATGACTTTACCTGCTATGCCAAAAAGTTGGCTCAATAAAAGCTAATTTTTAAAAAAGACATAAGTAGTTTCTGATGATAGAAACAGAAAAAATTGTTTTTCGTAGTGTGGGCTATTGACTATGAAGAGCACAAGGAAATTTGTGCTGAAAAGGGAATATTTTATAAGTTGATTTCAGCAATGTTACATTGCTGTTTATATATGCAGAAAATTATTGATCTCTACAGTTAAATTTGTGCATTTTACAGTATGTAAATTATATGTCAATAAAGAAAAACTATAGCAGTGTATAGTCCCTACCAATTTAACAAGTATTTAAAACAGTGACTATTTTGATTTTGTCAAGTGTATACAACAACTTAAAGGAAATCATAGAGTACAAAAAAGCAATGTATATGAGCAAAATTGACATTTTGAGATTTGATCACTGTTTAGAGCCACTATCTATACTTCTTGACAAACAGTGGTTTTCCTAATTGGTACATGTCAAATTTTTTATTTAGTGTAGGGTTAGGCTTGTGGTTATAAAGTAAATTGAAAAGTGTTCTTGAAAGTTAAAAGAAGGAGAAAGGAGGGTAGGAGCAAAGGAGGTAGGAAGGGTCGGAAGTTTCATTATGCTCTTAAAACTGTGCATTGAAATACATGACGGCTGTTCCATTTATATAAATAAAACTTATAAAAAGAAAAGCAATGCATTTATGATATGTGCTAGTATAATTTTGATGATTTTGTGTCTTTTAAACTTCATGGCAGTGAAGTTGGATGTCTTTGCCTTTGTCCATTGTGTATAGCCCGTGCCTCCTGGCCGGCAGAGCCATGGTCTTTTTGCTCTTTATTTGTTGAACTCTGTATTTAGTGGAGCCAATAAACAGCTGATGAGCATGAAATTGAAAAATCGCCCAAATAATAAGTTTCATTTTTTAAAAAAATGTGAGGTTAAAATCATGCAGAAAACATTAAAAAAGTAATTATAAAAATATTTATGTGGTTTGTCCCTATGTCTCTTGAAATACATAATTTGAGATGATATCACCTTGGGGTCATCTTGCCAAATCCATCTCTGAAGTCTTTTTTGTTATTTATTTATTTGACAGGTAGAGTACAGACAGTGAGAGAGAGAGAGAGACAGAGAGAAAGGTCTTCCTTCCATTGGTTCACTCCCCAAATGGCCGTCACTGCCAGCGCTGTGCCAATCCAAAGCCAGGAGCCAGGAGCCAGGTGCTTCTTCCTGGTCTCACATGTGGATACACAGGCCCAAGCACTTGGCCCATCCTCCACTGCCCTCCTTGGGCCACAGCAGAGAGCTGGACTGGAAGAGGAGCAACCAGGACTAGAACCCAGTGCCCATATGGGATGCCAGCACTGCAGGTGGAGGATTAATGTAGTGAACCCTGGCGCCAGCCCCTCTGAAGTCTTTTATTGGGAACCACGTAGATTACAGAGAATGATGGCAGAGAAATGGTAACTAGAGTATATTTCTGCTGAACTTTCCCATTTCCAACAATGAATAATTAAATACCCCCAAGACTTTGCTGTGATTGTAGTCCCTGCCTCATTTTCGCTCCTCTAATGATGCCTGAATGTCCAAGAGTTTGTCCTTTGGGACCCTGTGTATCCTCAGTGGTGGTGGCAAACATCCCTGAGATAAGGGCATTTAAATGTGTTTTCTTTTTCCATTGTGATGACCTCACTAACTCAGACAGGTGGAGAGAGGCCGGTCTGGGAGAGTGGCCCAGAAATTAGGCCCTTCTTGTCTGTTTTCCTGGGTCTTTTTTGGGGCAATGCACAAGCAGTGCTGTTGGTTTTCAAGGTGGACTCTGCCATCACGTCTGTTAGAGTGGGCCGCCATATGCTAAGGAGCTTGCAGCAGCTCACCTGCGCTTGCTCGGGCGGATGTGGGCATGTTGCATTTTGTAGTGAAGTGGGCTTTACCAGCAAGTTAGCCAAGGGAAACTACAACTGTTCATCCTCTAAGGTCTGGAAATCTCTGTTTTCCTTGGAAATAATCAGCCTTACTAGTAATTTCCAACTGAGTTAGGACACAAGATGCCAACTGCCTTTTTGATAATGCAAAGATATCCTAACTGAGTGTTCTTTCTTTTTCCTTCCCAGTGGCTTTGGGAAAAGACCCTGGTTTGTTGGAAGGAAAAAGAAGCACAAGATTGCAGAAGCACTGTTTCCCGCCAGCTATTTCTTGGTGAGTACTTGAACAAGGGAATAATTTGCAAGTTAATGGTTCTAACATCTAAACCACAGGGTGATTGTTATCAAATAAGTGAGCCATCCTCTCTGCCTCTCAGTGTCTGCATTAGCATGGGAGGCTGGAGTCAGGAGTTTGAGCCAGAATAGATCCAAGACACTCTGATGTGGGAAATGGGTGTCCTGATCAATAAGCTAAATGTATGCTTCCTATAATAAAAATATTTTAAAAATAGAAAGTTACTTCCCATTGAGAATATTAACTGCAAACAGCTTTTGAAATGGTGGTCATCAATTAAACTATTTATCAGTGAGAGTATTTTCTGCCCAACAGATCAAAGAGGGATGGAGATATTGATGGAGGTGAGGAACGAGACAACTGTCCAGGAGTTCATCCTGGAGGGCTTCCCTGCTGTCCAGCACCTTGGGAAAGTCCTCTTCCTGGTGCACCTGCTGGCGTACCTGGCCTCCATCACAGGAAACACGCTCATCATCACTGTCACCTGGGCTGACCAGCGCCTCCACACACCCATGTATATTTTGCTCAGCAGTTTCTCCTTCTGCGAATGCTGTTTTATTAGCACAGTGATTCCTAAGCTGCTGTCCATCTTTCTTTTAGGACAGCAAAGAATTCACTTTACTGCGTGTCTCACACAAGCCTTTTCTTTCTTATTCCTTGGGTCAACAATTTTCTTCCTCCTGGCTGTGATGTCTTTGGATCAATACCTGGCCATTTGCAAGCCTCTACACTACCCAGCCATCATGAACCTGCGGGTGTGTTTGCTTCTGGTTTTCTGCTGCTGCACGGTGTCCTTCCTCTTCATCACTGCTCTGGTTCTCAAGGTTTCCCAGTTGTCCTTCTGTGGCTCCAACCTCATCCCTCATTTCTTCTGTGATCTAGGTTCCTTAATTAACCTCTCCTGTTCTGACACCAAAGCTGTTGAAATATATACCTTCTTCCTTGCTTTATGTGTCATTGTGTTGTCCCTCATTGTAACCATCATAGCATACAGCAACATTGTAGTCACCATCGTGAGGCTCCCGTCAGCCAGGGAGCGACAGAAAGCTTTCTCCACCTGCTCATCTCACCTCATCGTCCTCTCTCTCATGTACGGCAGCTGTCTTTTCATCTATGTGAAGCCAAAACAGACGAGCAGGGTGGACTTCAACAGACAGGCTGCTCTGGTGAACACGGTGCTGACCCCAGTGCTGAACCCTGTCATCTACACCCTGCGCAACAAGCAGGTGCACCAGGCTCTCAGGGGTGCTGTGTGCAAGGTGAGACTGCAGAAATAGGAAAAGGAGTTTTGGAAGGAAAATGGCCTATTGTTCATCCAGTTCAATTTTCCACCATGGTGAAAATCTCTTCTGCAGAAACTCCAAATTCGGCAATTTATCTCTCACCATTTATAACCTAGATACCTGCTACCTTATCTTGCAATTCAGTACTTTTCACTATTTGAAAATATGAATTACTCCTCCATATTGTGCTGCAAAGTATCTTTTGTGATATTCTCATTTTTTAACTTTATATAAATTCAATTAAAGTAACATTGATGGAGAGCATAAATCAAACCATAGAAACTTTCTTTGCCAACTTATTCTTTTGAAGCGTGTTTGAAATTGTCAGAGGCAAGTTACTTCCATGCTGTATATCAGGCTGGAAAACTGTATAAAATCATAATACGATAGACTTATGAAAACAAATGATAACTCATTCATTGTTTTTTAAGATTTTTTATTTGAGAGGCAGAGCTTTAGATACATAGAGACAGACAGAAAGATCTTCCATCTGCTGGTTCACTCCCCAAATGGCCACAACGGCTGCAGCTAGGCTGATCTGAAGCCAGGAGCCAGGAGCTTCTTCCAGGTTTCCCACATGGGTGCAGGGGCCCAAGCACTTGGGCCAGCTTCCACTGCTTTCCCAGGCTACAAGCAGGGAGCTGGATGGGAAAAGAAGCAGCCAGGACAGGAAGCGGGGTCTGTATGGGAGGCAGGTGCAGCAGGCAGGGGCTCAGCCTAAAGGCCACAGCACAGACTTCTCACTGTTTCCTGTCATGTAAATGAATCAGCTAGAAGCTAAGTTTTCTCTTGGGATCTGTGGTTTTGGAGCCACAAAGAGCCTAGTGTAACTGCAGGATATTAGAACAATCACTTTATCATCTTCTAATTGTGCAAAATTTCTTTAATGCAATTATTTGTAAACCTTTCTTAAAACAAAAAATAAAAAAGGAAGCATTTGTGCCTTTTCTCTTGTAATTGACGGTGCCAAGACCTGGAGCCATCAGGTTGCTGAAAGGCAGGCTGTGTGGTTCTGAGTTCTCTCCTCCCATGTAAGAACTATGTTCTCCTCATGAGACTTTCTGTGTAGGAGCTGCCATTTGCTTGGCTGACCATTTCTGTAGCAAGAAGGTACAGGAGACACAGTTAGAAAAGTTTAAGAGGAGGATAAGTTCCTGAATATGAGGAAACAGGTTAAAACTGCATCAGTTACTGTGTGTCGGGTTCATGAGTGGACTCCATGCAAGGTCAGCTGTACCCAGAAGGAAGCAGTTTCACCCGACTTGTACACACGGAAATGTCCCTCCAAGCCAGCCAAGAGTGCTTTGCCAGAGTTCTCAGGAGGCTGAGGTAAGTAACCTGCAGTGTGCCCGTCAAGGGGAAGGTCAAGGCACTGTGGCTGGGGCCACGGGGGTCTCTTCAATCTCCTTGTTACATTGGCCACATACGCTGGCTCCTGACCTTAAGCCCACTCTGTCTGGATGTTCGTCCGTGGAGTAATTAGCCTCATTTTGAAAGATAATCATGGAAAGCCTGACTTACAGATCTAAGGGGCAGTGCTTCAGATGCAGCTGGAGCCAGAGCCAACCAGATGATCACCATCAGCTTCCAGTATCATCTACTCAAGATTTTCCTTTACCCTTGGCCAGCCTATAGGTGGCTTCAATTGCTTGCCTTCTGGGGTAACACACACCTTCATACCTGAGGTTTCTGAGCCTTAGGTGACCATCTGCTCAGCACTTCATGCTCATGGCGGCAGCAAATAAATTTCCAAAGTTATTACCTCAGAAACACCAAGAAGGAACCTAATGAATGTTACTAGTTTCAGCATGCGGATTTATTCTAAATTCTCCACATGAGAGCTGCTCCATGTCTTTCAGCTTTGCTCATAGTCTGTTTTGTATCAACAAGTGATGAATATGTCATTTATGACCAAAACAAATCAGAATCTTTCTATCCAGAGATGCAGGGCAGTAACTGGTGAGATGGCATCTATCCTAATGCAACCGTGCTGACTGGGTGTCAGCAGGCTGAGGATGTCATCCGGTTGAGCCTGTCCTAACGGGCATCCACAGCAGAGGTTTGCTGCTGACCCTTGCTTGCAATTCCCCTTGACTTGTCCACTGATGACCACTTGCCTTGCCTTGACCAAATGGTAGTCGGAGCCTAAGTACAGAACATTCCTTCTTCTTCTTTTTTTTTTTTTAGAAAAAGTATGTAGTTTATTTGTACATGACACATTATAAAGAAGAATTTATTTCTACTTTTTGAATGCAGGTGCAAAGTGAGTACTCCAGTTCCTAGTCTGATAGGGAATTTTCATTGCCAAACAAATCATTTTGAGTTTGAAGAGTATGTAAATACAAGATGTATTGGTAGCACATTGGAGGGTTTACTCAACTCTGTTTTTGGGAATCAGGAATTTTTCATGGAGGATGTGACATCTGTGATGAGATGGACTTTGGAGTAGTGCTATGGTTTTTCTATTCTGTCATGAAGGTTAAAGAAATGGCTGGTAGAAGGAATGCTACATGCAGTGTGTCAACTCCTAGAGCAGAGACAAAAGTGTAGAACATTCCTTCTTAACAACTCATTCTGAGTATTGGCCAGCCACAGGAAGAACCATTTCTGTGGAAGGGTCTGGTTTTTCCACCTGCTCCCCCTCACCTTGGCCTCTCCCCTACAACAAAGATCCTGTTAGCCTTGTTACTCCTCCATTTAAAGCAAAGCTGTCTTACTGTTTGACTTTGAGATGCTTGCAGATCTTGCGGTTGGAGGATCCTCTCTATTGTAATAAACACATATTGAAGAGATTCAATCCTTGCCTAATTCTGGATTCTTTTGGTTTGATACTGCCCACGCAGGCTGATGTAGGCCAGCATGAATATGTTCTACCTATGGGATAACAGTTATATCCTCACAGCCTGTTTGAACCATGTTTTCCATGTTTTGTGTTTATCATCAAGACTTTCATAAGACTAAAACATTGCTTTCTCTCAGTTTTTGAAAACTTCAATGACAAATAAAAATATAAGGGTTTATTATTTTATTACCTGCTAAACATATTATGAAAATAGATTATTTAAAGATGAAACAAAGATACATATTAAATTCAAATATTTCTTGCTTAACTTATTGTTAATCTAAAACAACATTTTATTATTTGAAAGAGAGAGTTTTTTGATTCCCTTAAGTATAGGATCATACCATCTCAAACAGGAATAATCTGACTTCCTCCTTTCCAATTTGAATCCCTTTGATTTATTTTTCTAGATTAATGGTTCTGGTTAAAACTTGCAGAACTATATTGAACAACAATGGTGAAAGTGGGCATCCTATCTGGTTCCAGATCTTAGTGGAAACGCTTCCAGCTTCTCCCCGTTCAGTATGATGCTGGCTGTGGGTTTGTATTATATTACCTTGATTGCTCTTAGGTATATTCCTTCTATACCCAAATTGCTTAAGTTTTTTTTAATCATGAAAAGATGTTATATTTTACAAATGCTTTGACAAAGTTGCAAGATATAAAATCAACACACAAAAATCATTAGGCTTTGAATACACAAACAATGCCATGGCTGAGAAAAGAACATGGAAAATCAGTCCCATTCACAATAGCTACAAAATTTTTAAATCTATTGGGATAAACATTAAAGGCCTCTATAATTAAAATGATAAACAATTACAGGAAGAAATTGGAGGAGATAATAGAAAAAGGAAAAAAAGTCCTTCATATTTATGGGTTGGAAGAATTGATTCATCAGAATGTCCATACTATCAAAAGCAATTTACAAATTCAATGAGATCCCAATCAAACTATTAAGGACATTCTTGTCAATCTAGAAAAATGATCCTACAATTCATATGGAAACCCAAGAGTCCCAAACAGCCAATGACATTTTAAACAATAAAAACCATGTCAAAGGCATTATAATACATAATACAAAATTTCAAGACGTATTACAGGGCAGTTACAATCAAAACAACCTGGCGCTTCCATAAAAATAGACATGTGGACCAGTGGAACAGATTTGAAACCCCAGAAATCTTTGACAAGCAAGCTAAAATCACTCCCTAGAGAAAGGACAGTATATTTAACTGATGTTGTTGGGAAAACCGGTTCTTCGCATGCAGAAGTATGAAACAAGACTTCTACCTTACACTCTACATAAATATTGAGTCCAATGGATGAAGGATCTAAACCCAAGACCGAAACAATCAAATTACTGGAGGAAAACATAAGGAAAAACATGGCAAGACATTGAACTAGGCGAAGACTTCTTGGATAAGACCACAAAAGCACAGGCAATAAAAGCCAACACCCAACAATGTGGAGGGACAACTGAAAGAATGGGATAAAATGTTTGCAAACTTAGATAACAGCTTAATATCTAAAATACCACAAGGAGCTCAAGAGACTCAACAACAACAAAACAAACAACTCAGTTGAGAAATGGTTTAAGGACATGAACAGGCATTTTTTGAAGGAAGAAATACAAAAGGCCAACAGACATATGCGAAGTTGCTCAGGATCACTAACCACGATGAGGTTTCACCTCACCCCAGTTAGAATGGCTATCACCCTCAAATCAAAAGTTAACAAATGCTGGAGAGGATGTGGAGAAAAAGGTGCCCTAATACATTGTTGGAGAGAATGTAAATTAGTACAACCATCATGGGAGACAGTATGGAGCTTCCTCAGAAACCTGAAAACAGACGTACCATATGATCCAGCCATCCCACTCCTGGGAATTTTCCCAAAGGAAATGACATCATCATATGAAAGAGCTATTTTTTAAAAAACTTTCATTTAAGTTATACAAGTTTCATGTATTTCATATATACAGCTTAGGAACATAGTGATACTTCCAATCCTACCCTCCCTCCCACACTCCAATCCTTCTTCCTCTTCCCTCTCCCATTCCCACTCTTTTACAAAGATCTACTTTCAGTTTACTTATTGAACACAAACTTAAGCCTACACTAAGTAAGAGAGTTCAACAAATGGTATGAAGAAATAAAATGATTCCTCAACAGTAGAGACAAGGTCTGGAAACAATTATTTAAGTCTGGATTGAATGAGCACTAGAGAAGATTTATTCTACATAGGTAGACAATAGGATGGAGAGGTATTCAGAAAATAGTTGTTGGAGACAAGTCATACCATTGCCCTTTCTATCTCCTGGTAGGCAGCCTTTAACATGCAGTGAGAAGGCCAGAGGATTAAGATTCTTCATTGATGACCACTTAATATGGGATGGAGGAGAAGGCACCTGTCTTACTGCCTGAAGTTAGGCTAGGGCCAAAAGGAGCTGAGCTGTCTCTAACACTCGAGTTAGTGCTGCTCTGTGAGGCTTCTATCTCACTGCAAGGTTCTGTGGTCGAGGCCACAGAAACATTTTTCACCAGTGATATTAGGTCCCCTAATGTGGAAGCAAATCCCAAGACATGATGAAGGAATTTTTTGTGAGATTAGAGAAAATCATGATCATAGGGTATTTTTTGGGGTCAGTTAACTTTTTTATTTGTAATATTAATCTATTGGCTACACATTTTGAGTACTTGGTTAGAAGTATTATGTGGCATATTTAGAAGATACTTATTTTTCTGCTTGGCAATAGATTGTAACAGAAAATTACTAATATTCTTTCTTTTTCTTTTCTTTCTTTTCTTTTTTTTTTTTTTACAGGCAGAGTGGACAGTGAGAGAGAGAGACAGAGAGAAAGGTCTTCCTTTGCCATTGGTTCACCCTCCAATGGCCACTGCGGCCGGCACACCGCACTGATCCAAAGGCAGGAGCCAGGTGCTTCTCCTGGTCTCCCATGGGGTGCAGGGCCCAAGCACTTGGGCCATCCTCCACTGCACTCCCAGGCCACAGCAGAGAGCTGGCCTGGAAGAGGGCAACCGGGACAGAATCCGGCGCCCTGACTGGGACTAGAACCCGGTGTGCTGGCGCCACAAGGCAGAGGATTAGACTATTGAGCCGCGGCGCCAGCCACTAATATTCTTAATATTACATTATTCCTTATGAATACTGGTAGTTACCAGTAAAATTTTATTTATTCAATAATTTTAAGATACATGTATTCTTACGTGTAATATTCAATTTTATCTTTTGACAAAGTACAAAAGTTACATATGAAATAAAATGTTTTATTTTATGTTTGTAATTTAAGGAATTTATTGATACACTAGATATTCAGAGTCCCAGCAAAAGCGTGATAATATCTACACTGTAATTATCATCAATTCTCATGTTAATGTGATTTAATACAAAGAACAGATTCAGTGTAGTTCATGCAAACAATTCTAAGAACAAAATGAAATTTCCTTGTCCCTCCCCTTCTCTCTCATTCCCTCTCACCCTCTACCTATTCCTCCCTTCCTCCCTCCCTTCCTTCCTCTCTCCCTACCTCCCACCCTTCCTTCTTCCTTCCTTCCTAATTTCTTAACTTTTTAGATGACATTTTAATCTATGTTATAGACATAAATGTATGATATAGACATAACATGCAAAGGCTTCAGTGCACTAGGATTTTGCCTAGTGGTCAAGGTGCTACTAGGAAACCCTGCATCTCAAACTGGTTGTCTGTTTCTGAATCCCAGCTTAATTGCAACTTTTTGCTTTCTGCTAATGCATACCCATGGGGCAGTTGGAGATGGCTCAAACAGGTGAGTGCCTCCAACATTTGACTTCGTCTTAGGCCAGCTTGAGATATTTTGGTCATTTGGGGAGTGAAGCAGCAGATTGGACACTCTCTCTCTCTCTCTCTCTCTCTCTCTCTCCGTCTCTTCCATTTCAAAGAAAGTAAGAAATAGCAATAAAATAAATGATGAGTAGTCTCATTTGAAAACAAACAAGTCCAATTCCCTTATCTGTATTATTTTAAATGAAAGAAAGTTATCCTTTCTTCAGTTTTTTTCTTTTCAACTTTTATTTAATAAATATAAATTTCCAAAGTACAAGTTTTGAATTATAGCAGCTTTCCCCCCATAACCTCAATCCCACCCACAACCATCCCATCTCCCACTCCCTCTCCCATCTCATTCTTCATCCTAATTCATTTTTAATTATCTTTATATACAGAAGATCAACTTAGTATATATTAAGTAAAAATTTCAAAGAAAGCTCAATGAGACTTGATGAAGGAATGGAAACGGTGGCGATGTGGGATCCAGGGAACAGGACAGCAGTCCAGGAGTTCATCCTGGAGGGCTTCCCCACTGTCCAGCACCTGGGGAAAATACTGTTCCTGGTGCACCTGCTGGCGTACCTGGCCTCCACCATGGGAAACACGCTCATCATCACCATCACCTGGGCTGACCATCGCCTCCACACACCCATGTACTTCTTCCTCAGCACTTTCTCATTTGTGGAATGCTGCTTCATAACCACAGTGATTCCTAAACTGCTGGCCATCTTCCTGTCAGGGAGGCAAGCCATTTCCTTTGCTGCCTGCTTCACACAAGCTTTTTTCTTTCTTATCTTGGGGGCAACCATCTTCTTCCTTATGGCAGTGCTGTCTCTGGATCGGTACCTGGCCATTTGCAGACCTCTGCGTTACTCCAGCATCATGAGCCCCAGGGTGTGCTCCCTCCTGGTCACTGCCTGCTTCACTTTGGGATTTCTCTTCATGGTGGTCCCAGTTATCCATCTTTCCCAGTTGTCCTTCTGTGGTCCCAATGTCATCCCTCACTTCTTCTGTGATTTTGGACCTTTGGCTAAGCTCTCCTGTTCTGATACCAAGTCTGTTGAAATGTTGTTCTTTGATGATGCTGTTTTAGTTCTTTTTATATCCCTCCTTGTCACCGTCATTGCATACAGCAACATCGTAGTCACCATCGTGAGGCTCCCATCAGCCAAGGAGCGACAGAAAGCTTTCTCCACCTGCTCGTCTCACCTCATCGTCCTCTCTCTCATGTACGGCAGCTGTCTTTTCATCTATGTGAAGCCAAAGCAGACGAGCAGGGTGGACTTCAACAGACAGGCTGCTCTGGTGAACACGGTGCTGACCCCAGTGCTGAACCCTGTCATCTACACCCTGCGCAACAAGAAGGTGCACCAGGCTCTCAGGGGTGCCCTGTGCAGGGGGAAGTAGAACCACAGCTCATCAGTGGAGGGTGCACCTTCTCTATGATTGAATCCAATCTTTCCAATCTACAGAATCTTCTCCAGAACTTTATAGTTTTAACTGTGTTTATTCATGTTTGATTTTTATCTTTGAATATCAAGAGCTGATATTTGATACAATAAATCTTTTTGATAGCTCTATATTCTATCTTACTCTAGGATACAATATTATCTGCTATATTCATTTCATTAATTTTAAATCAATAAGATCCCAAGAATTTTAATTTAATCAAGAACCTCAAATCTGTGAATATATTTCATGCATGCTGAATCTCAGCTGACAAGCTGTTTTTTCATATATTTACTTGTGATAATTATAAGGAGATAACTAACAGAATTCTTAAATATTAAGAGTATCAAATTGGGGCCAGTGCTGTGGCATAGCAGGTGGGGCCACCGTATGTGGTGCTGGCATCCCACATGGGCACCTTTGCCAATTTCTCAGTTCTGTGATTTGGACAGGAGGGGGACAGTGGAGTAGGCCTTTCTGAGTATCCCCTGAGGTTTCTGACACAATGTGTCCTTCATCTCACCCACACTTGGTTTCACCCTAACATTACCTTGCCATTCTCTGGGTCATTCTCATGTCCCAGAGAGCTGCTCCTCTTCCTTCATCTGCACCTTCAGTTCTGGGATCTCAGGATGTGGTTTCAGCTCCAGACCTGCAGGAGACACAGAGGAGGGACTAGGTCAGGTCTCAGCCTCAGTTTCCAGGGCATGGTGCAGTTCCCCAGGGACTCAGAGGAACCTGAGCAGGAGGACCTCAGAGAGGAACAATACACACTTTACCTCTCTGATTTGGAACCTGAGGCCCATAGAGACTAAGAGGTTGTCTCAGCACCACAGCACCTGATGGTAGTAGGGCCACCCCATGAGCTTTGACCTCCAGTTTCCCTGTCCCAGGCTTGGCTCTTGTCTTCCAGGAATGCATGGCTGGGTTTTGTGAACTTTGCATAAAGCATTGGAATTTCTGCTGCAAAAAACAAACAAAAGTAAGAAGGTCCTTCCTTGGACACATCTTTTCTCACAATTCTTTTCTGCCATTATTTATTCTCTGTTTTCAATCACTGGGTGATAGAATTTGAGAGAGAACACTCAAGTTTAACATAGCCCTGCCTGTCCTGTGGAGCCCTCACCTCCGGAATTCTCCCTCACGCTTTCTCCTCTGCTGCAATGCTGGAGAGTGTCAGACCTCATGGAGGTCATTTCTGTATGGAGATCCATGCTATTCTTTTTTTCTCCTGGAGCCAGGGAGAGTAGAGATTCCTTCTGGGCCCCTGTAGACCTAGCTTTTCTACTAGGCTGTCCTGCTAGTGTCAAGATAAAAAAATTAAAAACCACCATGAACTATGCAAATCAGGTCAATAAAGATTTTCCAGAGGTGCCTGAGATTGTGAGAACAGCCTCTGGTAGAAAGTGGTCAGAGCCAAGCACGGGGCATTGGCAGACTGACTCAGGTAAGGTGTATGTGCAAAACAACCAGCTGCTGACATCAGGAAGAAGGCAAACATCAGAGGAGTGTGAGAAAAAAGGACGATTACTGGCTCAAATGAAAATGGAAGTATCGCAGACTGAGACCCAGAGGCAAGGCCCATGTCACAGAGGATTAGTCCTCGGCCCTGAAACCTATCCCAGGAAGTCCTGTTGGATTTGCCCATCTCAACTTGAAAACTTTTGGATGCATGACTTCCTTGTAGCCTCCATTTCTACCCTTGCTGAATTAGAGCCACTGTCACTGTCACCCCATGTCCACTGCACACTGGGGGCAGATAAGCAGTTTGTTTAATGTCAGAGTCCACAGATGGAGGGAATCATAGAAAGCATCCACACTCAACAAATGCCTTCAACACCTCACTTACATCTCACTTTCATGAACCAGGTAAATTCCAAACTTCTGATGTGAGGCATCTACCTGACAGGTGAAGTTTTTTTTATTCCTTATATGTTCTGGATTATTAATTCTTTATTAGCTACACAGTTTGTGAATTCCAAAATCAATGGCCTTATTATATACTCACAACTATCTTGATGAGATTTGATAAGTGCTATCCAATTCTCAACAGCTCAAAAAAATTAAATACCTTGTGATAAGTTCAACCAGATGTTAAAGACTTCTTCAATGGAAATTTAAAAGCAATTGAATTTAATGATAGAAATTAAAGCAGACACAATATAATGAAATTTCCTCGTATGCTCTTGATTTGGAAGTATTAATATTATTAAAATGTCAGAACTACCCAAGACAATTTAGAGATTCAATATAGTCCCCATCAAAATTCTGATGACATCCTCACAGAATTAGAAAAAAAATCTTAAAATTCTTATGAAAACCAAAAAACCAAAAGTCTCAGAATACTGAAAGTATTCTTAACACAATGAAGCCAAAGCTAAAGGCATCACCATGCAAAATTTCAAGATGTGCCACAAAGCTATTGAGACCAAAACGGTATGGTACCAACATAGCAATAGACATATACGACAATGGAACTAAAGAGAATCCATAGAAATTCATGCACCTACATCCCAGTTAGTTTGACAAAGGTGTGAAAAACTCTCCCTGAAGAAATGTATATGAATTTCATAAGTGGGGCTGGGTATTTTGTCCTTTGCCATTGATTTCTTGATTTTACCATTGATTTTCTTTCTCTCTTTGTTAAAGGATTTATTTTATTTATTTATTGGAACGTTGGGGAGGGGGAAGGGGAGTGAGAGAGAGAGAGAGAGGCAAAGGAAAAGAGAGACTGACCCTCTATTGGCCTGTTAACTTCCAAAATAGCCACAATGGCAAGGGCTGGGCAGGCTGAAATCAGGAGCCAAGAGCTTCATCTGGGTCTCCCATGTGGGTGCCACAGCGCCCCCACAACCCTGCCCTTCTGTGCACGCCCTGTCGCCCCACGCTGCACTCCTGGGCTCCTCCCTTAGTGTGACCGCGCCAGCTCCAGAGCCTCTAACCCTAGACAGTGCGGGATGACCTGCAGCCACCTAAACCTCACTTCCTTACCTGCACTTCAGACCTCAGAGACTTCTGCCGGCCACAGTTATAAACTACAAGCCCGCACGCAGGAGGCAAGGCCTCCTCTCTCTAAGAGAAAAACAGCGGATTCTAGCTCCTGGAGACTGGTAAGTTTCAAGTCAGTTTCTCTGCACAGCACCAGAAACGCCGCGGTCAGTCCTCTGCTGTGTCCTGGTGGGCTAAGCCTCTGGCTGCAGGGCCGGCTTCCCCCGTGGGCGCTGGTTCCGTCCTGGCTGCCCCTCTTCGTCTGGCTCTCTCCTAATGGCCTGGGGAAGCCGTGGAAGGTGGCCCGAGGGCTTGGGCCCTGCTCCTGCCTGGGAGACCCCTTGTTGTGGCCACTTGGAGAGCGAACGAGAGGACGGAAGACCCTCGTCTCTCCCCTCTCTGTAATTCTCTCTCGAATAAATAAACACAATGGTAAGAATAAAACTAGTTGAAAACAGGAGGCTGTGGTCCCGGAGAGCGCCCCCTGCCGCCCGGGCTCGGCAGCCCCGCGGCCTCCTCCAGGGCCCGGCCCTTCCCGCCCTCCCGGGAGCTGTGGGCGCGGCTCCCGCATCCCCCTCCCCTCCGAGGAGCGCGTCCAGAGCCTGGGGCCGGCGCCCGTCCTCCTGGAACCCCGTCCCTGGGCGCGGTCCGCCCCGCGTCCCGTTTCCCTGTCTTCTCCTCTGACTCCGGTTCCGGAAGGCGGCCCTCACGTGACCCCGCACCGCTGTCCCGCCCTGGCGCGGGTCCTCCATTGTCCACAGCTCCGTTTTCTTCAGCGGGGTCCGCAGCAGCCCCCTCGGCGGCCTGCAGGCCGGGCTGGGGGTCATCGACGGCGCCCTCGGGCGCAGGGGCCTCGCCTTCCTGAGGGCTGAGGGCACCGGGTGGTGGGCGGGGCCTGCGGCGGGCGGGAAAGCGCCGGGGGCGTGGCGGGGGCGTGGCCTGTGGGCACCCGCGGTCTGGGGCGGGGTCGTCCCGCGCGTCCGCGCCCCCGCCCTTCCCAGCCGCGTGGGAGCTGACGGAGGAGCGGGTGCGCGGCGCTGTGGCTGCGGGGTCCCCTCTGTGGAGTTAATGCTCGCCCTGCCACCTGAGCTCGGCTTCCGCTCTTCCCTCTGGGGTCCCGACCCTGCCTCCCCCGCCGTGGACCCCTCTTCCCGGGTCTCTCTGGCCCGGATCCCGAGGGAGCCGCAGAGTCCGGAGGAGAAGGAGCCTTCCTCGTGCGGACTGTCCGCTGTATTTATTGCTCCTGTCACTTGGCTGCTGTTGGTGGGTGATTGCTTCTGCCTTTTTTCCCGCGTCATGCACTTTCCCAGGCTTGTTTTGTGGATGAACTTTAGGAAGGTATTGAAAAGTGAGGCAGATAGTCAGGCTGTGAGTTCTCCTGCGTCTCTAGCTGCCTCTTCTCTCGCGTTTCCTGCGCTCTGTTGATGGCCACCAGTAAGAGATTTCCCAAAGTCCGAGACACCTGGGTGCTTGCAAATGCTGCTCTCTGCAGTTCTCCCTTCGGTATTGTTCTGATGGTTGTTTTTCTATTTCTTTTTCCTCTTTTTTCTCTCTCTCTCTCTCTTCTACCTCACACTGTAGGCTGAACTCTCGATGTAACGCAGGGTTAATTATACGTATTTTAAAGCAATTGGAAAAAGATACCAGCTAAAAAAAGGGAGGGAATAAGAGATGGAGGAGGTAGTCTGAAACTGTAAAAAAGGTATAGTTATGCATACAAGCATATAGACTCACCTCTAAGGGTACAGGCTAAGAACTACTCATGGGGCTCCAACCCCATAAGAATCGGTGGTATAAACCCATCTTCAATGTTACAATGATCAACTTAAGTGTTAAAGGCAACAGATAGACCGGTCTAAGTTTAAAAGGGATGACATAAATACCATCAAATACCCAGTAAAAATAATAGAATTAAAAAGGAAGGAGGCGCCAACATGGGAAGCAGTCCGCACAGTAGACTCCTAGAATGACTTTCGCAGTAAATGACACTCTGACCTCAGAATCAACCCATAAGGCTTCCAGGTCGGGCTGAAAGGCCTGCAAGAGCATCTCAGGCATGGGGAGACAAGACTGCGGGGGGGGAAAACAACAACAACAACCCTACACGGAGGATCTCTGGGAGACCTCAGAGGAAAGGAAGGGTCATCAAAGAAGGAGAGACTCTTCTCTGAAGGGAGAGGAGAACATCCTCCTTGCTTATGGCCGTGTCCAAGTAGCGACAGGGTCTATGGTCACAAAAGGCCTCCATAGGCCTGGCAGCTCAGGTCAAGAGCATGGGGTGATCACTGACGTCATAAAAAAAGTGTTAGTTGTTAAAGGAATAACAGTAGTTAATGTGCACTTGCACCCCAGGTAGGACCTCTGTCCCTATTGAATTGACTAAAAATTCTCTCCCCAAACTGTACTCTGTATATTGCATGTGGGCATGGGGACAGATTGTTGACCTATATGATTATCATAGAGATGGTCCTCTATATATAAAGTCATACTAAAAATGATCCATAATGAAGAAGGAGATGGGAGAGGGAATGGGAGGTGGGAAGGGAGTGGAGTTGGGGGCATGAGGGAAAGAACCACTGTATTCCTAAAGTTGTATATATATAAAAATTCATTCATTAAATAAAAAAAGATTATGCTTTCTAAAAAAAAGAAAAAGAAACTCAATAGTCTTCAAAGAAGAACACAAGGATGATACATCTGTTGGGAGCTCTTAGACATAACTGTAACTTGTGAGATGTAATAATATCCTCCATTTTATGGACTATAAGTGAAAGATTCTGGAAAACAGTAACACTAGTAAGTCCTATGTATATATGCTCTATGATGACAGAGTCGCTGCGCCCTATGACTCTCACTGTGTCTTAGATAAAGGATCCTCGTATGTCCGACGTCCAGTCTTGGCTGTTCTACGTGACATGAGCTGCTTAGTCTACTGTAGCTGTCTGGATCCACCTGTCGGGGAACGGGACAGCCTGGCCAGCTGTGCCCCTCCCGACATGTACAAGCACAAGAAGTTTAGTGCTGGGCTTTTTCCACCCTGCCCGTTGCTAATTGCAAGATCCTGTTTTGACTTTAAGCATCCTGTTATTGCATGTTTGAGTTGGTAACATGTTTTCCGTGAATCATATATAAATAGGTGGACGGTGGGCGGGAGTTATGAATGAACGCAGGTAAAAGACGGAGTTATGAATGAACACTGGTAAAAGGCGGAGTGAATGAATGAACGCTGGTAACAGGCGGGAGTTATGAATGAACGCCGGTAACAGGCGGGAGCTGTGAATGAACGCCAGTAGTAAGCGGGAGTGGTGAATGAAGGAGTTGTGAATGAATGCCGGTAACAGGGCAGGCGTTCGCGACATGTAATGCGAGTCTGCTGAAAAATAAAGTGGAAGCTGAAAAGCCGATAAACGCGTCTGGTGTCTCCGAGGTCTCGCCGGCGTTAACCTATCCGGAAGGTGTACGCCTGCAACTGGTGCCGTGACTCGGATCGCTGCGACGGGGAAAGAAGGTAAGAAAAAAAAAAAAAAGTCTATAGACGGGAGTCTAGGGGAAAAAGCCTAGGAATACCGCGGTACAATGGGGAACACACAGTCCACCACGAAAATGCACCTATTGATTAGCCGCCTTTTAAAGGCAACGGGGACGCCCGTAAAGAGTGTAGCTGTGTGCAATTTTACTAGGATACTACTTAAAACTTGTCCTTGGTTTGTTGAAGAAGGAGATTTATCACAGGTTCGGTGGAGATGGGTGGGACGTGAATTGCGAAACGCTGGAGTCGAGGAGGGAGTGATCCGCTTGTGGTATCTGATAGATACTGCCTTACGGTCAGAGGATGACCAGGTCAGGGAACTCTCAGATGAAGGCTCCGAACTACTGGAGGAGCTCAGCAGAGACTCCCGTGATAGTAGCGAAAAAGGAGACAATGTAGAGGAACAAAGGATGGAAGCAAGCAGAGGAGCCCGACCAAAAGCGAAACATCCACAGACGCTGGAATTGCCTCCACTATACCCCGAGTTGCCCTTAATGCCCTCCGCTCCTCCTTATGAACCACCCCGTCATCCTATGCGCTGTTGCTGTTTTGCCGGCAATGCTTCCAGCGAGATGAGGCCCATAGTTTTAGAGTCTGGGCCAGAGAAACAGACTAGAAGGCAAATGCTTGAAAACGAAAGTGCTTGTAATGACGATGAAGCCGCTTTTTTAATAAATACTGGGGATTCAACTCCCCACCCACCGCGGCGCCTGAAACCAAATTGGGCAGAATTCTTTAACCCCCATCAGATCTTTCCAGTGACCGAAGACCGCCAAGGAAATCGCGGGTGGACTCCGGTCGACTTCACAGCATTGAAAGAGTTGCAAAAGGCAGTGACTCTCTACGGGCCACATGCTAACTTCACCAAAGCTATCCTAGGAACCTTAGGCACTCAGGGCCTAGTCCCTGAAGATTGGAGAAATGTCTGCAAGGCAGTCCTTTCAGGGGGAGACTATCTCTTATGGTCAGCCACTTATAGGGAACTAGCTCGTACTCAGGTGGCGCAAAACCGAGCTGATGGGCAACCTGCCTGGAATGAGGACATGTTAAACGGAGAGGGAGCATTCCATGCAGAAGCGGTGCAAGCTCGGTGTCCCCGGGAGGTATAACAACAAATAAGAGATATAGCCTTGAGGGCCTGGAAGGCGATGCATGCCTAAATTCACCCAGACAACCTACAAAGGAGGCAAAAGCAGTATTAAAAATTTTTGAACAGCGCCTTAAGAGCACCGCTATGCAGCGGTGTGACCCCACTATGCCCTTAAGTATTTTGGTGTTCATACAAAGTCATTATCCCTATGCTTTACTCTGGCAAGAAGGACCATTGTTGTTTATATACTCACATAACCATATGCCCAGATCTATTACCTCCTATGCGGAGGCTATGGGAAATTTAGTTTTACAAGCCATCCACCGAGTCGTAGAAATTGCAGGGAGAAGACCACAGTCCTGCATTCTTCCGTTAGAGTCTGTAGTCATTCAGGAGTGGGCTAAGGAAACTTGGCAATGGTCCCACATCACCATCACCCTTGACATAAGTGTAGATAACCATTATCCCCATCATCCCTTTATTAGATTTTGCGACATGGTACCCTTACACTATTTTAAAAGAGTTTATTCTAATCCCATTCCCAAAGCACCCATAGCTTTTACTGATGGAGCAAAAGGAGGTACCAGGGTGGCTATTTTACAAGGTCAGGTGCATCATGCAGTTACTGCATCTCCCTCACCTCAACATGCAGAGCTAGCTGTAGTGGCTAAGTTATTAAATATGGTTGAGGGTCCTCTTAATATCGTTTCTGATAGCTTATATGTTGTTAATGCTGTTAAGAGGCTAGGCTCCCCTTCGTTAATATCCAAAAGTTCTACAGTGTTTCCTTATTTTGAGCTTGCTCAGCACGCTTTATTTAGGAGATCAGATCCCATTTTTATCACCCATATTAGAGCACATACCTCCCTGCCAGGTCCTCTCACCGCGGGAAATGCCCTTGCCGATCAACATTCCCGCTTCCTTTTAGCTTGCACTGCCATGGAACAGGCAACAGAATATCACAAACTTTGGCATGTTAATAGTAAGACCTTAAGTATGAGGTTTAATATCCCTATTCGTAAAGCTAAATCTATTGTCCAAAATTGCGAAAAATGTGTTATTCATCAGCCTATTACTATGCCCACTGGAGCTAATCCCCGGGGCCTTTATCCATGTCACATTTGGCAAATGGATGTAACGCATATCCCTGCCTTTGGCAAGCTATCCTGTGTCCATGTTACGGTGGATACTTACTCAGGAGTAGTTATGGCTACTGCCGCTGCCAAAGAGTCCACTTCCCATGTAATGCAACATATGTTACAATGTTTTGCTTCTTGGGGAATTCCTAATATAATAAAAACTGATAATGGACCTGCTTATACTTCTAAGGCTTTTGCTGAGTTTTTAGCAACTTTTCATATCTCTCATTTAACCGGCATCCCATATAACCCTACTGGACAAGCCGTTGTGGAACACACTAATCTGTATCAGAAAAACTTTGTATTAAAACAAAAAGGGGGAATAGGGGCACTATCCCGTTCCCCTAAAGACATTCTCAACCTCGCCTTACTTACCATAAATTTTTTAAATAAAAAAGCTGATGGTCTCACCCCGGCAGAACGTCATGTAATCTTGGAACAGACCCCCAATAGTAATAAACCCCATGAACCGACAGAAGCTCAGCCACACGTTAGAAAAATGATTATGTGGAAAGACCCACAAGATAACAAATGGAAAGGCCCATACCCATTAATAAGAAGGGTATGAGGCGCTGTTTGTTTTCTCCCACAGGAAGAAAAAAATCCAATCTGGACTCCAGAAAGACGGACAAGAACAATAGAGTGGCAAGATGATCGTGATCCTACTCCTACTAATAATGACACCACTGTCACCGACGATGGCCAAGCTGGATGA